TGACTAAAATACCTCCGCGAGGTTATACCTCCCCCTTCTCCACTCATTCGATCCTCAAACCCTAGCAGTAGCGGCACACCAGTTGCAGGTCCATCGGCAACGATCAACGGTGAGGAACCGTGGCCGATGAACCTTCCTTTTGGCCTCTTTCCTCTATGCTTTGAAGTCAGATCTCTGAAACATAGCTCGTAGCTTGATCTCAGATCTTTGAAACAGAGCTCGTAGCTCGACCTCAAATCTCTGAAACAGAGCTCGATCTAGTTGTTGTTGTTTGGGTGTCGAAGAACCGGAAGAGAGACGTTCAGCTGCCACTGGTTCTCTTTTGGAGAGCAAGATGAACAGTGTCAAGTTCGTGGTTCAGTGATTATAGAAGAACAAAAACAAAGGAGAAGAAGAAGAAAAGGAGAGAGAGAGAGAGAGAGAGAGAGAGAGAGAGAGAGAGAGAGTAAGGAGAGGTTGTCGACGCTCTCTGTCACTCGAAGGGAGAATAGGGGAGTTGCAGCGACGACAACCTTCCCCCTGTTCATCGTCTTATTATTATTATTATTGTTGTTGTTGTTGTTGTTGTTGTTGTTGTTGTTGTTGTTGTTATTATTATTATTATTGTTATTATTATTATTATTATTACTGTTAATTTTAGTTATTATTATTATTTATAATTATTATTATTATTATTGAAAAGTATTGTATATATGTATGAGAGAAGTGAGGGCTAAAATTGTCATTTGAATAAATATAAGCACTTATGGGGAAAGTAGCTTACCAAACATTCCCACCCCAATAAGTACTTAAAAACATAATAAGTGATTTAAAAAAGTGGGTTACCAAACAGCCTAAAGGGTTGTTAAAACAAGTACAAGTACTTAATCATCAAACAGGGCCTAAGTGATTATTTATATTTGACTTAAATACATGGTTTTAAAAACCAACCTAGAAATGGAACAACTTTCACAATCAACTCCCAAGTCATACGGTCTAACCATCTGATTTGAACCCCAGTCAAGCAATTTTTGGGTCCAAAACCGAACTTAGAACCATGACCGGTTCCCAGGTCAAATGGTTCAATTGTTCGATTCACTCTGGTTTTCAAAACCATGCTTAAACGAATCAGATTAAATCTGATCAATTTGCACCCTAATTGGATCCTCTACAAATTGAAGTTATTTATTACCAAAAGAGATGAGAACAAGATAGAAATAACTATTTTATCAAAATGCCTAGGGATGGATTTGAGCTGAGCCAAGTCGAATAGTACGAGGCTCGAGCTCGAGCTTGAGTTCAGTTCGAGCTAGAACCTTGAGCTCGAGCTTGGCTCAAGTTAAAAACTCATAAGCTCGAGCTCGATTTGAGAAAAAAATGTTTTATACAAATAAAAAATATTTTTTATTTGATATTTAAAAAATTAAGAATTATAATATTTTTATTATATATTATTTTCTATAATTTTATTATATATATATATATATTCAAGCTTGGTACGTTTGTTAATCAAACCCATAAATTGGGCTCGAGCTTGGTTGAAATTGAGCTGAACCATACTTTTCACGAGTCAAACTCGAGTAGCTCGTGAAGAACTCGACTTGTGGCCACCCCTAAAAATGCCAAATGATAACCAGTTCGGATCAGGTAGGCACAAGTTGTAATCATGTTCAATGAGCACTTGAATTTTTTTTTTACACCTGTCCCTTAAAATACCCTCACTCCACCCTTGAAAAGGATTAAAACCCACTTTGGACAGTTGTCAAAATACTTATTAAGTGCTCATTTGACATGCTTATTTATGTTGTGCCTACTAGATCAGGTCCCGATGATAACATATTAGTTTTGAATCCAAAATATGTAATTTAAAATTGATAAAAATAAATTCGTTTATAAACATTAAATTCGGATTTGCAATCTAGCAAAGCGCCAACCGGCTAGTTTATAAGTTCTCCAACAGCTAGTTGTAGTAGAGACTTGGATCGAAGCTAGTTATTTTTGTGTATTTTTTTTTTCTTGCAACTTCTCATTCCCATTTTTATGTCATAGTACAAAATCTATCCCTTCCAAAAGCATAAATGAAGGTGTTGACACATGGTTGGTTTACTTTTGAAACAACAGTAATTGCCACATCAGCAAAATCATATTGTTTTTGTTAATGTGGCGGGTATTTTTGTTTTTAAAAACAAAATCAACCATGATGCCTAACACCTATCTATCAGTCTCGGAACAACCCCAATCATTATTTGCAACAATCAGGTCTGACCTGATTATTCTTGAGATCTATACTTGCCATTTGAAAAACATCTAACTAGTCAACTAGAATCATAAACGTGGTAGCAATTAGGTGTTATTTATCAAAACCATGGGTGGATTTTGATTGGTCAAAACTCTTTCAATACCTATGTCTTCCCCATATCATAGATTTTGTATTACTATTTATGAAATTTAACCATTTAATTTAGACATAAAATATAACAAAGATAAAACTAATCAGGAGGCCTTCATACATATATTATTAACTATATAATTGATTTGGGTCTGAATCCATTAGAGACAACAAAGACCAATCCCAACCCAATAATTAATTGGAACAAAATCATAGAACCAGAACTGACTTAATTGCTTCGGTCAATTTGATCATATGACTGTGTTTGGTTGCAATGCAAATAACTGATGTAAAATCATGGGAGTACAAATGTTTGAATGTAACTTCTGACCTATTTTTGTTTCAAATTTTAGTTTATTTTGTTTGATTTCAGTACAAATGAAGTAAATTAAGACATAAAACATAATAAATAAAATAAAATCCAAAACAAAATTAAACAAGAATTTACATTTTTTACATTTACACTCTCATATATTTGTACCAGTGCAAATAAATTTGCACTGCAACCTGGGGTAACCCGACCCATGTAAACCCCTACTATCCAACAATGGGTTGAATGAAAGTCTAAAATCTTTTCGAGAGAGCACGTTGGAAGCGAAGGCTGTTGATTGTGAGATCACATCGGCGCCCCATAGGGCGTGCGTTGAGATGTGATCTCTTTGATCGTAGACATTCAAAGTTTTTTTTATAGGGTAAATTACAAAGACCCCGGGTGACAAAACTCTCTTGTACTATGATAATGGGACAAAGACTTCCTTCCGTCAGTTTTCCGTTGAAATCCACCGTTCTAATATTTTTTAATCTCATTGTAATTGTAAGCAAAATCTTTACAATTTGAAGATTTACTTACTCCTGGTTATTTCTTGCTGCCGTCGGAGTTGGAATTCGGTTGTTGTCAGAAATCGCCGATGGCCTGCATTAAGGTTCAATTGTGGCGGTATTTATTAGCCGGTGGCGACTATTACCTGGCTCAGCGCATTGATACCACCGGCGAGAGGACGCTGGCGGTGGTTACTAAATGTGATAAAGCTCCCGAAGGTCTGCTCGAGAAGGTCACTTCCGACATGTGAACATTGGGCTTGGCTACGTCTGTATGAGGAATCGCATCAAGGACGAGTCCTACGAGGAGGCCAAGGCTGAGGAGGCGAGACTGTTTTAGTCGAATCCCCTTCTTTCGCAGATCAACAAATCCATCGTGGGCATCCCTGTGTTGGCCAGGAGACTGGTGCAAACCCAAGCTGCTAGTCTCCTTCGTGACCAAGCCCTGCACTCGGATCTGGAATGGCCTGTTTTATTCGTCCGAACAGTGTTGGATTAAGCACTTTGATCTCAACATGATCTCATCCTGTAAGCTTTTGCTTTTGAGCTTTGGGCTTGTGAATAGTAAAATTGAGTTTGAGGCAAAGGCAAAACACAACTTGCTTTGAATGCACCTCAGCCTTTATGATCGAACCGTCTCCCAGCTTGAACCCAGGAATAACCGGAAATCCCTAAATCAGTTAAAATGAGCTAACCGGAAAATTGTTATCAACAAAGTGAAAGAAAAAGGAAAAAAAAAAAGTAGAGAACAGAACATACCCGAAACCTTTGATCCTTGTTTGTCTAATTTCTTATTATCCAAATGGGGCATTTTGTCAGCATCAGAAATCGAATAATTTTGTAACTCCAACTTCGGAATCAGCCAGCCTGGTGAAGGCGGAGAGGACGCCTCTTCTGAACTACTATGGTTCCGTTCTTCATTCGTAGTCCCAACAGACGTCAAAATATCAGAGCTTGAACTGCAGGAACTGCTATCCTGAGACTCTTCAACGGAATCTGTAAATGACTCAGTTTCCCGCCGGCCGGAAAACTCGATGACACTCTCCATGTGTAGAGGATGAAATTCATCTCCTCTGGTTGGAAATTGCATGGATCCGGCTTGAGCGCAAAGGCCAGCAAGTGAAGCAACCAAACCGCCTCGGCCATTGCCAAGAACTCTTCGTAAAACTCACTCCTCGGGTGGTTGCCCGTCGAAATCACTCGACGCTGCTCAAAATGTCCGAACAGAGACTCCTCCATCTTGGGGTGAACAAGAGAGGAACTTCATAGAGCAAAATTTGCCAAAGCCACAAGTGGGAAATATGCTTAGGAGCTCAACCGGGTTCGTGGCCTTCATATCTCGGAACTGATCCAAGCAGTCTTGGCGGAACTGGTCGGGGTGGAGAAATGAAGGGACGCTGTTGTCCATGTAGAAATGAATCAAGGTCGTTTCTAGGGTATTTTGGATGGCAATACAGCCGCCGATAGTGTACCTGACTCTTCTTCGTCGTGTCTGGTTGGAGCTACGGCCGATGCCGAATGATGGGTCTGATCCTTTTCCGCCATTAGAAAGTTAGCTCTAGCTTAGTGTGGTCTTTGTCTCAGGTCATAGTACAGGGAGGTTTTTGTCACAAAAGAAAATAAAGGGAATTTTGTCACAACCTCATAGTACTGGAGGGGTTTTGTAATTTACCCTACTTTATACTTAGGCTTTTTAATAAGACATGTCAAAGTATATGGTAGGTATTGACCAGAAATAAAATATCTAATAAGTTGCACATCAACACAATACTTCTCAGCACCTACGTCTATAAATTCTGAAGGGATAAGAATGAAGAATTCTATATCAGAATTCAGAAAAGACCTCCCTTTTCTGTTGCAGGAAGGACTAGGAGATGGGAGAAGTGAAGGTCGTTGGGTCTTCTCCTAGCCTTTTCTGTTACAGAATTGAATGGGCTCTTAAGCTTCAAGGGATTGAATATGAATATCTAAAAGAGGATTTAAGAAACAAGAGTCCCTTGCTTCTCAAGTATAATCCAGTCCATAAGAAGGTTCCAGTGTTCTTGCACAACGGCAGACCGATTGCAGAGTCTCTTGTCATCCTTGAGTACATCGACGAGACGTGGAAGAACAATCCTTTGCTGCCTGAAGATCCTCATGAGAGAGCTCTGGCACGATTTTGGGCTAAATTTGGAGATGAGAAGGTATCTCTGGGTTGCTCCTTTTTCTTTCTTTTCTGTAATCCTGTTCTTTCATGATTTTTGGGCTAATGAAACCCACTTTTCTGGTTAGTGTTTGATGGGTGCATGGGCAGCATTATGTGCTGAAGGACCTGAAAAGGAGAAAGCTGTAGAGACTGCGATGGAGACACTGAACTATCTCGAGAAGCAGATTGAAGGGAAGAAATTCTTTGGAGGAAAGACGATTGGGTTTCTCGATCTGGTGATTGGATGGATCCCACACTGGCTCGATGTGTTAGACGAAGTTGGAGGTATGAAGCTATTTGATGCAGAGAGATTCCCGTGTCTCCATGAATGGGCTCAGAATTTTATCCAAATTCCCATTATCAAGGATTGTCATCCTCCTAGAGATGAGATGGTTGCCTACTTCCAATCAAGCCGACAATACATGCTTTCATTAGCTGCTAAGAAGTGATTAATTATATTTTCTTTATCAGTTGGAGTTTTGTGAAGATTTTACATTTATTATATATATATATATAGATGGTTAAAGTTTGCCTGCTAAGAAACATAAAGAACAGAGGAAAGATTGAAACTTATTTTATTTGATTTTTATAACTTTTCAGCGCGGTTTTCGATGGATTCATCTTCTATCAGATTTTTTTTGGCGGATAATCACAACCCTGCTATGGTTTGAAGTGTTTATTATCCAATAACAGAGTAGATTAGCAACATGAAATTGGTTCTAAAAATGACCTTAACAATATATTTTCTTCAACAAAATGAATCAAAAGTAACTTATTTGAAACTTAAACCTATGACAATTTAATAAAAACAACATTTAAATCAACTTTACTGATAGATATAATGTGAAGTTAAGATTTATGAGCATCTATATTTAAATCGAATGGGATATTATCGGATCATATAGGAGTGGATAAGTTGATTCATGGTTGATCTGATTATAATAATTAAACTGATCACATTCGAATTATCTTTAATTGGTTTAAATTACAATTTGAATTTAGACAATGAGATGTTTTTGCAGCCCTATAATCCATTCCCATATGAGGATCCAAACTACAAAATCAGCTCTGCATACTCTCCTTATCTCATGGGAAGAAGTTTATCACTGAGGAAGCAATCAAAAACAATAAAAGAAAATAGTTTTTTCCATTGTCCTCACCTTATCTTATAGTCTTATACATAGGGCTAAGAATCCAAAGAGTAGCACAAGTCTTCAGGGATCACATATGAACGACAAGTGTTAATGGGTTAGAACTCAATTAAAAATTTGAATACTTTGAAATCAAGGACTCAAGGGTGATCATTCGGTTTATTCAATTAAAGATTGAACTCAATAAATCATTGTTTTTAAAACCGGACCGGACCGGACGGTTGGATTGGAAAAACCAGGAACCGGTCATGTGACCGGTTCCATTTCCCTCCAAAACTGTTGATTTTGGTCAGTGAACTGCTGAATTAGGCGGTTAACTGTTTGAACAGTTCGAACAATTTTGATCGTTTTTTATTTTTTAAAATTTTTTTAAATATTTTTTTGTCTGAATGGGCCAAGCATTCGGTTCATATGGTTGGACCGTTCAACCCAATAACCGGACCCCTGACCGGTTCAATCACCGGGTCAGTTTTAAAAACCATGCAATAAACCAAATAAAAGACTTTCAGTTTTTGGTTAATATATGATAGTGAAATTTGGTTCATTCAGTTTTTTTGGATAATCAAAATTTCTATTCTGAAAATTAAAAGAAAAAAATTGAAATATCCAATAATCAAATTAACCAAACCAAAACTTTTTAAAACTAAAATAATTGAAACCAAAACTTTTGGTTCAGTTTTTGGATTAAAAGTGTATAATGCCCACCACCTATTTTGGATCATGAATAGTCCCAAAGAATGCCAGGTCCCTCTATATGGGCTTTTTTGGTAAATGCTAGTATGTGGAAATTTATGATATGACCAATGATTTATGACCACACAATCCCCTTGTAATGGGGTCCGGATGTAGTATGTACGTTAGGTAAGCACAAGGAGTGAGTACATAATAGTTGTGCGACAAATGTCACAGTTAATGAGCCTTTTAACTAAATGTTTTTATTCTGTTAGGCAGAAATTATCCATTATTTTATTATCTTTATCAAAATAATAAAAAATAAAAATAATGAAAAAAGAAAACGTAAATGATTATGCCCCATTATGACATGAGTTGCTATCAAGTATGAAGTTTGTGGCTGAGATTCCTCACTTGTCCTATATATAAAAAACAATGATTCCCACATACTAGTATGATCCAGATATTTTTCTTTTTTATTTTTAAATAAATTGTTTAAACCTCCCGTGTTTTTCTGACATTTGCTTTTTTTTTTTTGAGAGAGGGAGAAGCCCCATATGTGGCAGAATTCATTAAAAAATGCTAAAAAATACAAGATATTACAATCAAAACCAGCCATAATAATCCAAGAAATTGATAAAAAGATGGAGAAATAAATCCAGATTATAGACCAATCTGTTGAAGAAAAGATACCAATCTAGAGCACCAGCAGAGGAGAAAGAGATTGTGAAGACTCTGTGGAATCCATAAAGTACCAAAACGAAGGGTCAAACCTCCAAAAGAGATAAACCCAACAAGAAACTTTTAAACAAAGCAACTAAACCAACCAGTGGTTTAGAAGAGAATTGATTGCTAAACTCAAACCCGTCTAGTGGCAATCATAAGTAAACTTCAAATTTGACGGAAGGGGAAAAGGAGATGGCTAAACTCAAAAAAACCGGATGAAATGACCACAAAACCATTAAACATGCCTTATATATGTGTAAAAATATATAACTAATACATCTATCGCACATAATATGCAAAATTATATAACTACAAGCATGCATTGGGTGTGGGATGTTGAGGTTGTTCAAGCCTCTCAACAACCATAATCCAAACTTAGTTTTACATCAAATTAACTAGCATTTTCCAACTCTGATACTTATATATCCAATCCTCAAATCAACCCATGATGCAGCGTGGAAGCAATGGAAACCGGAGCTGGCTATGCAAGCATCGGGCGATCGCTAGCTTCTAGCGAAGAACATCGAATTCTCTAGGAGAGAGAAAAAGTGGCGCAAACTCAAAGAAGAGAACTTGAAGAAATTCTGAAAATATGAAGTATGAATTGATGAATAATTCTGGGGAAAATAGCAGTATTTATAATACATTTAGAAATTATAAAAGAACTAGGAATAACAACTAGGATAGATCCAAATATCTAATCTAGTAGGATCAAACTCTTCTTGGTTTGATCTCCACCGTCCAATCTCCCTTGATGCATGAATCTTGGATTATCTTGCTAATCTTGATGCTTCTTGGAGTCTTGTTGGAATTCTGATCTTGATTTCTTGATAATCTTGGAAGAGTCTTGCTTTGTCTTGATAATCTTGGAAGAGTCTTGCTTTATCTTAACCTTATCCTAGGAGCTGCCGCCCTTAGGGGTGAGATAGGCCTTGTGATGGGCCTCCATCATTCTCCCCCACTTGGAGAGAACTCGACCCCGAGCCGTGACTAGGATAGGCAAGTGTAATTTCTGGCAGGTACTGGTGAAGGTCAGCAACGTTGAAGGTCTTGGATATATCTATATGATCCGGTAGGTCCACTACATAGGCGTTGTCATTGATCTTCTTCACGACCTTGTAGGGACCATACTTCCGAGGCTTCAACTTGTTGTAAGTACCTACGAGAATTCTTTCCTTCCTTAAAAAGACCATAACCTCATCACCTACATCAAACACTTGAGGTCGGCGGTGCTTGTCTGCGGCCATCTTGTACTTGGCGTTGGAGTGCTCTAGCTTCTGCTTCACGGCCTCTTGGACGGACTGGATTTGTTCTGCCATCTGTTCTGCTGAGATACTGGTGCCGAGTACTCTAGGTAGCTTCACTAAATCCAGTGCATGGTTAGGGACCTTCATGTACACGATGGAGAATGGGGATCTGCCTATAGAACTGTGCATTGCATTGTTATAGGCGAACTCAGCCTGGGCTATGGTGAAGTCCCACTGTTTTGGCCTCTCTCGACATATGCTGCGAAGTAAATTCCCTAAGGTTCAGTTTACCACTTCTGTCTGCGGATGGGCTGTACTGCTGAAATTAAGTGATGAATCAAACAACCTCCACAGGGTCATCCAAAAGTGACTAAGGAACCGTGTATCACGATCTGATGTGATGGTCTTGGGTACCCCATGCAAGCGGACAATCTCCCTGAAAAACAATTTGGTTGTAGCGGATGCATCTGCTGTTTTCTTGCATGGGAGGAAGTGTGCCATTTTTGAGAATCTATCAACCACCACGAAGACGGAGTCCATGTTCTTCTAAGTCTTTGGCAAGCCTAGCACAAAATCCAAGGACAAGTCTTCCTTTATAGCAGTAGGAACGGATAGAGACATGAAGAGACCTGTGTTCTGGGTTTGTCCCTTAGTTGTCTAACAAACATAGCACCTACTTACTATGGTAGACATGTCCCTTCTTAATTTTGGCCAGTAATATCGCCCCTTAACTGCTTCTACTGTTTTATCCCTTCATGCAAATCCCTGATGATCTTTTCGCGGAGGGAGGTGCAAGGGATACATAGCTGCTCCCCTTTCATAAGGAACCCATCATAAATAAAGAAGTCATCTGCTGTCTGCTTATTTACACATTTCTCCCATACCTGTTGGAAGTCTTCATCCTGGGGATATAGGTCTTTTAGGCACTCAAAACCCACAATCTCAACACTGAGGGTCTTGATGAGAGCTACACGCCTGCTAAGTGCATCAACCACTTTATTTTGCTGTCCTGTCTTATACACGATTGTACATGGGAACTTGTCTAGGAAGGCAGACCATCTAGCATGCAAATCACTTCTTAATTGCTTTTGCCCAGTAAGATATTTTAGGGCCTAATGGTCAGTGTAGAGAACAAATTATTTTGCAATTAAATAGTGTTCCTGATGGTGCACAATCTGGCCGGTCTTAGCTGTCGATGATCTTGCCTCTGAACTGAGTAACAGGGACCTGAAACGGAAGGAGAAGAGAAGCTCCGGGGAGAACCCGGCGTAAGGGCTCCGAAGCTCAAGTTAGAATCCTTCAAAGGCAAGATAAACCAGATAGCGCGAAAGTTAGTA